ATTACGAAACAACATTTTTAGAGTGCACAAAATTATGCGCCAAACACTGGACGGCAGGCCACAAAGATCGTTCATTGGAACGTGCATATTTCTCGGAGATATTTGCTAACAGCTGATTGATACCACTCGGGTCATCGTCGTTGGCGGCACACCTTCGCATCACTGAATTGCTGAAATTCACTTCATCTATTAATTCATCTATAATTTTAATATTTTACGCATTCAAAACAGATATAGTTATGCAGATAAAACTACAATCACGTCAGGATGAACGATATGAAGAATCGTTGCTGGCAGATATGCGAAGACGCAAAAGATGACATGCTTCATGAAAAAATCTGAGAATATATCCTGAATCGAACACATGAATATCAAATGTGGATTGCTAAAAGGTGGATTTATAAATTGAGAATGAAAGGCGACTAACGTTTGAGTGTTGTAGATCAGTTGAATAAGATGCTTCGACGCATCTGCACTGCGCTCGTTCGGATCGGGACGGGTTGGTCGGAGACACAACTGTAGATCATAGCATTATTTATTATCATTATTATTATTATTATTATTATTATTATTATTATTATTATTATTATTATTATCAACATCACCGTATAAACCAGGAATAAACTTATATACAAAAAAAAACGAAATAATAAAACCGCAATAGAGATAAAGCGAGAACTGACCAGAAGAAGTACGCTGATATTCGTTTGGTCAATAACAATGCCCAATGAAAGACGTGCACGCGGATTGGACCCTTCATGACTCCAAACGGTCAACTGTAACGACGGTCGCCAAACGCTATCTTCATTCCATTCCTTAAAATCCACTCTCTTTCCCACAATGCTAACAATACAATAAAAGAGAACTTGCTAATGAGACGTTATCACTAACCATTTGCGCGTTCATAATTCTCGCAATGGCCGAGAACGTGCCCGAAGTGGCCAATCGACATGCATTCACGAACGAAACAAATGCTAATTCATTGCCCAATCTTGAAACGCAACGCTCAAAGTATCGTTCAGCTATACGAATATCCATCAATGGAGGAATGTCTTCACCTTCTGCAATTTTTAACACACTCTAATGAAAAACACNCAGCTGAAACATCATTTCATCGCGCCTTACACCACTTACTTTCTATTACGTATCTATACATTTCAGAGACAAATAATGATATCGGTTCTGTGCAAGAGAAGTTTCATCCTCATTTTCAACATGAATATCGTTGCTTTCCAACGAGCGATGAAGTCATTAAACGTTACAAATTTCAAAGAAATAAATGACAATAAAACAAATCAATGAAGCAATAACAACCAACCGAAGTCGATATTCAACTTGAGGGTCATTGATTCTGGATGCAGATGAATGAAGAAATTAATGATGAATGGTTCGTGTTTGATGTTGGTCGGTAGAAGTCCACAAACCGATAAACGAATACTATCGGATGCGACGTAAAGGTTCAGGAATGGCACATATGGATGGTGTGCTGTCGATGGTGTTTGCATGTTAGTGCGTTGGTACTGATGTTGGTATTCACGTCGATACCCTTCCAATGCATTCCCAAGACGCGATATATACGACAGCGCAAATAAGTACTCCTCCAGTGGACAGATCCCTGAACATCTTATTAAAATACATACAGCATAGTTGAATGAAACATACGAACAAGTTTCATTTTTGTGACTTTGCAAAATGCACGACGATGGAACGCGACATGTCAAGTATTACTTGATGCCATATACAGTGGGTAACACGCGAACATCCTTTGATGAATGAGTACTAATTATTGTCAATTATGTTCGCTTTCTACATTGAATGTATTTGATTTAATTAACCATCCTTTTCGGACATCGTGACTAAATACAGAAATGAAGATGAACCTTGTTCATTGATGGATGTCATTTTGGAGAGGGCGTTGTGATCAATCAAGAACGCGTTTCTCGATAGAGCTGCATGATCAGTACTGCTCGATGTTGATGGCATGTAACGTAACGACGATGCTTCCGATTCACCTCCTCCGGCAACTGAGGGTGCTGATAGGGACAGATGCGATGAGGACATTGGCGATGCGACGATTCGCGACGCCGGAGATCGACCCATCTGCATCGATTCTCTTTTATAAGATGCCTTGTTGATGAAACTGAACNGAATAACGAAAAAGAACGCACACAACAAATCGACTACAAAACGTATGCAATCGATAAGCAGTCGGTGCATTTCGCGCGCAGTCCCTCACCGCCACCCGTCCACCATTCAGCAATAAAAACTCCAGTTCCACTGGTCCATATATCAACCGAATTGTCACTTCATCTATCACTATCAAACTTGCCTTAATAATTCAAATATTACACTGCTATTGAGCTTCTTTGTCAAATATTCACGAAAGATATTTCAAAATATTCATAACATCTTGATAAGCTCAATTAATTGAATAATCAATTTTTGTTTGTTTGCTACAAACAACTACTGATGAAAATAGAAATAATAACGATGATGATACCTGTATTGTGAGAGGTAATGTAGAATCGGCACTGATCATTTGTGAATACGAACGTAATGATTGTAATTTGATTTTTGTGAATGAATGTAGCGAGGATAACGGTGAGATTGTTTCGATTAAATATTGCATTAAGTCAATCAGCGATCGCTTCTTATTGAAACCTTCTTGTAAACGATCTTTCAACAACATATGTGGATTCCACTGACTTAAAAATCTCGTTTTAGTTTCGAGAACAGCACAACTGCTATCTGGCATCATTGTTATTCTTATCTATGATTCAATTCACTAGAACAACTTACCAGTTCTACTAGAACGGGTTATTGCTGAGAGTCGAAATGCTAACTGAATTCAAAAATGATTTCAAAAAAGAACGAACTTTACTCGCTGAGGTTGAATAGAAAGAGTTTGAGAGTTGGCAATCGCCTGGTTGGGTCCGATCCCGAACGTGAGGTAGAAATATTGCTTTTGATTTGTTGACTTCATCACTCTCCACGACAAAAACATCAAGTGGTCACGTTGCGCACCGTACGCTATCACCAGTTTATGATATGTAAATGCTGTGATCTACAATCTTATCATCAACATTACATTACTTTTTGTTCTTTTAAACTAATATAAGCACCGTTTAAGTACACTTCTTAAGTACACATGAATGTTTGCTATATCCATTGAAATGTTGCAGAGTGTTACCAAAACAACTGATGGATGACAACTGCCATCAAGTGGTTTCCTAACAACAGTGATAATAGTAATAATAACAGTAACAATAACAGTGATAAATATAATAGTAACTGAACTAATCGCGCAAATAATAAAGTTCAACAATAAACTAACACAACAAAATTTATGGTAGTAGGCATAATAAGC